GGAGTATAACTGGACCACCCTCTTCCTGGAGGGATAAATGCGGGGACTTGTCCCTACAGGTTGGAGGAGTTTCGAGCCAGAGACCGTAAAATATGGTCCTAAGTCCCGCGGGGTTCGGACCCGAGAATTACTTCGGTGAGTAGGGCGACGTAAGTGGCTCAGTCGTACAGGACCGACAGTCGAGAAGAGAAGACGGAAGGGTCCAGAATGCAACAAGAGTTAACGAACTAAAGACTAAGATAGCAGCTATGTCTAGGAAGCAAGACCGTCAGCCAGACTCTCGAACTGGAGATCGCGAAGAAAGCAGTTGAGTTTTTCATCGGGCTGCAGAAAATGAGCAACTGTACACTGTGGAGGACTCGGCCTCCGCCAAAAGAGAAGAGGAGATTACAGGCGGCTTGCCAGCCAACGCTGTAGGGGCACCGGACACTCCTGGATATTCTCTCCCCGTAAACAGACGGAACCGTGACGCACTATAGGCTACTCAGGACTAACAGCCTTAAAGAGGGAGCAATGTGACATCTTTGCTCAAAGAAAAATTTATGGAGAGAGAGAAACAGCCATTGTTATGTGACGGCTGTGAAATGCGCAACAAAGAAGTAACTATTGGAAGCGGTGTTTTTATGACGTGTATACCGAAGCTACAGAAAGAGGACCAGCTGCCATGGCGGGAGAGTCTTCAGGCGGCAGTGAGAAGAGTAGGAGGTTGGTGTGAGATGGTCGCCAGCCTGCTAGGACGTAAGTTCAGGAGTAGAAGAACGTCCGCTATTGGAAGACGCTACTAAGCAGCACAGTGAAGATCGTACTGAGAACACTAGTAGCTGTCTGATACATATTTGTAAAGTGTAGTCACTGGTTGTTTAAACGTTTAATAAATCTGATTATCAGTCCAAACCCCATCTATAGTCGTTCTATCACATGACAATATTTAATTTGTTTTTTGCTTTAAATTTTTTTTTAGAAATCAGAAGGATGGTTATTTACATGGATATAATTCTATTTCTGGTCCAATAGAATTACACCCATCATTTATAAGGTCTTCTAGTTCTCTACATGATGTTCACTACGTTTATTTTACTGTTAGGCGTACCTTAATCTCTGTTGCTTTCCTTTTTCGTTTTCCCTTCTGTCTGTAATATAGTTCCTGCTATTCATAAACCATTAATCTCCGACGCCCATATTGTGTTCTCTTCCTCCTACAGTCAGGTTCCGTGTATTCGCCGGTATCACTTCCTATTGATTTGTTTCTGTTTCACTCGTTGCTCTGTTTCATAATCTTCTCTTTGTTGTTGCATGTGCTCCACTAAACGCATTCGATATATGTCTGTTAATTTATATTCTTGCAAGATATCCAAGCCCAGTACCACATTAAAATGCCCAAAGTTTGATACCTGTTCTGTTATTTTTTATATAAAATTATGAATCTGGTTAGCGCAGTGGTATAGCGACTGCCTACGGGCTGAACGACAGAAGGATCGGAGTACGAGTCCCGGTAGGGTTAAAATTGTTTTCTTCTTTACGTCATCCAGACTGGTTCCGGGGCCCATCCAGCTTCCTATTCAGTTGCTATCGGGGGCTCTTTCCCCGGGGCTAAACGACCGGGTCATGAAGCTGACCACTCACATCCAGCTGGTGTCGAGGTCAAGAAAACTTGGATCTATATATCTACTCCCCATAAGTCTTCATGACGTAGTGCTTAATTAGCTAAGCACAGGGACAATTTGTTTTTTACTTTTTACGATCTCTCTAGATTATTTTCTTTTAGGATGTGACGTCATATTGTTTTGTAGATATTTACTGACGTTTCGGAACAAGTGTTTGCCTTTGTCTTCAGGACATCCTGAAGGTAGGCACGTTCCCAGAAGACTGTAATCTTCACTGTATTGCCAAAAGAACCTCAGACTTCTGTGTTCTGTCCTGCCGGTGGATCGTCTCTCTTACAATTACGCAACCTCGCACCCTATTTCTTTAATATTATCCATCCCTATACAACTAGGTAATCCAACTGCTTTCGTCCTTGAGGGATTCCCGGATATAGACGTGTTACTATATTTTTTTATCTTTTTTAATTTAATAACATTATTAAACCTTGGCAAATTATATAAATTTTGAAGTTCGCCATTAGGTAATTTCTCCTTCCTGTTCTTGTTTCTGATCTTTGGATCCCTCTCCTCGCATGCCTTTAGCTCCATTATTTCCTTGCTTTTCGAGACCATGATCTACACTCAAATAAACAAAAGATTGAGGAAGAATGATACAAACCATACATTTTACCCGTGATCAATTAACCTAATACAGAATAAAGGAAATTAAGAGAGGAGGAATTTAGTGATTTATAACCCCTCCAAGGCCGTGCCATGGCCCAGCCACCGGAACCTCACCGCGGAAGTCTGGCTTGTATTCCAGGGTAGTCCATGTGGAATTTTTGACGGGAGAAATGGCACTGCCGAACGTTCGCTTCTAAATAGTTCGGCATTAATTAACTTAACTGTAATCATTCTGGTCCGTCACACTAGTAAACTAAATTATAGAATAATTGTTAACACCTTGGAGCGTGATTCAATTTGTAGATATTTATTGCCTTTACATGTTTCGGTCAGCTGACCACCTTCAGAAGGCATAAGATCAACATGTTCAGGAACTACTACTAATATAAAGTTTATAATACATACTTAGAAATTTGATATAAAAATTATTTACAATTATTTGTACTAAAACTGCATTTATTTTTTTCTTGGCACCACAGCCCCATTGGGCCTAGGCCTACCTCCATGACCTTCTCTGTCTAAAATTTTATTAATGCGTAATATTTAAGATCTTGAACCGCTATGATTTGTGTCCTTGTGCCTCTTCTGTTAAACGAAATTAGGGGTATTATTTGAAGTCCCCAGAAGTCCTCGCATTAATGCCCCCTTTTTAAACTTTATATGGTTCTGCATCGTTCCAATGTCTGGTTGTTTCATTTTTGCTGTGTTTGAAGGAAGCTAACCGAGACATGTAAAGGCAATGAAAATCTACAAATTGAATCACATCGGACGGTGTTAACAATTATTCTGTAATTTAGTTCGGATTTCCCCTGCCAACTACCACTCCATCAATGCTCTACACTTCTCTTACCATCACGACCTGGACCAATATGCCCACTTCATTTCACTGTTTGCGTACTGTTTTGTATCATGAGTCCACATTGTAACAAGGAACAGCTAAGACATAAACTGCCACACAGAAAAAAGAACACGAAGACATACCCAAGAAGGCAAGTGAGAAAGAAACTAATAACATAGCTTCTGTAACATACAGAATAACAGCGAACCCCGGGCAAAGGACAACCTACAATGCGGGACATAAACACAAAAACAACATAGAATTTTACATTCAACGATAAGAGAATTTTAAATACTTTTGAATTTTGGAAAATTCTAAAATTAGAAAAGTTCTTGCAACTTCCTGACGGTTGCATGTATTGTATGATTGTGATGAGAAGCACAAATATGGATCCATATTAGCACCGTTAAATAACAAGAGATTTGATGAGACTGCCTGAAGAAGTTCCCAAATGTTGACCGAAACGTGTAAAAACCAATGTGAGCAGTATTATTGGCTTATTTTTATTGCTGTGGTGACGGCCAAATGCCACCTTCAATGCCCACTTCAGTTCACAGTACAATAGGACTCTGTCCCCAAGCCAAACTGCTACAGATTGTTTTCTATCGCCGTGCTATTGCGGCAACTTCTCCGACACTGCTGATAAGCATGTAGTCTAAACGCTACCATGCAGGCGGAAGTGCCACAAGCAGTTTCTGAATCGTCATATCCAGCCCAAATCGCAACCATGGCGAAGAATTATGACCGCCGCGGACATATATACACGTATGCGCGTACTGAGTGTGGTCTGTGTGCAAACTGAAAGACAGTCAGGGGTGAAACATTTGTCCATAGGGCGGGCCAGAAGAGTCAATAATTTGACGTGAATGAGTTATTATAAGACAAACACTGAAAGTGACAGACGGAAAGGGTCCATAAGAAAGAGGATGTGTTTTTGGATCAGGACAGAATATAAAGGACAAGAACGTGAGGTCATATTTATGAATGGTCAACTGCTGACAATAGAACCGTAGCGCTGAAGGTCATGATTTCAGCTTCTCACTGCAGTAATTGAAACAAATCTATGTTCTCGGATATAACGCTATGTCGTCAGACGGAAGTCAACAGACATAATCGAGGAAAATATCGCCTCCATCTTCAGTAGGAACCAGGAAATCCTTACATGTTTTTTCCACAGGAGGAATAATTTTGCTTTAGGAACTTGGAAAGCTCACTTGATATAGTGACTAGGATACGGGCTGTATGACCGATGAATCGGGTATTGATTCCCGGGAGGAGCTGTCCATAACCTTCAGATCGACTCCCATCCAGTGGCTACCAGTGGCCATTTTCTTGAGGTAAATCAGCAGGAACGTGCATCTGACCACTCAGCCGTATCTAGTACCGGAGTGAGGGATCGTACAGCTGTACATCACCTCTCCATGTCCTTTAATAGGGTGACGCTTAATTAATTAAAGCATACATAAATATTTTACTTTACCTTCATTGACTGAAAACGAGAAGCCGGAAATGAGCCCTTTCTTCGGTGGCCCAAATAGCGGTGTATCCTTACAGGGGGGAAGTAGCAAATTTGTCATTGCTTTGTTTATTTATCATGGCTTTTATGTAGATTTTGCAAGTTACAGGAATTAAATTTGTTCTGTTATAAATATTGCTTCACTTGTTCTGCTTTTCTCTAATCTTCAAGTCTCCTAACCAAGATTGCGAAGAATGAAGCATAAAGTAAACTTTCGATGGTAAATAAATGGTTAAATTTATGATGAGGGTTTCAATGCGCTCGAAGCCAATTAAATATTTGAAATGTATCACTAGGCATCTAGTCAGATCCCGTAGACAGTGTAACATTTGTAATTATGTCAACCTGAGGCTTGATGTTATGTTTCTGTTTGTTGCAGATCGGTGGGGAGGAATCGCGAGACAGAGGCAGAGCAACATATGTCTCAGCAGGTGAGTGAAGCCCTCTCTCACTTAACAAGGTTTCCCAAACAGAATTATGTGATGGCGTGTATTCCCGTAGAAATTCACCGACGTAAGTGAAATGCAGGAAGTAGTCTTCTCGTCCGAAACGTCGGTAAACTTGTACAACAATGCACAGCGCCACATCCCAGAAGGTACAGATGCTGCAAAATATCTTCTAGCGTCGTTGACTATTACTAATTCAAAAGTGGGCTGGCCAGCCAGCCTAGGCGGGGGGAGGGAAGAGGAGAACGTCAACAGACAGCGCATACGAAAGAACCCATTCGTTTCTTGCACCACGTACTTTCCCATTGCCCTTACCAACTCCCCCCTTCCATACCTCTCTTCCTCTGTCGCAGCAAAGGCTAGGAGATAACAGTATTTTGCGTAGGGTGTACTTGTCTTCACAATTTCCACTGAGGTCCTGAAATCCAAAAGAAATCATAAATCCATCTTCCGGTTACATAAATTTATAGACTGACAAATCTATTTTTCTTGTATTATTGCTATTTCTTTTTGTTATATTTCCTGAAGATCTTACAATTTAAAAACTTATTCTGCGTCCGTTAAATTTGTTGGATATTATATATGAGACAAACTCCGTCTTAAGTGCAACAATTTAATTGTAGTTCTTTCTTCTTCCCTTCCTCCACACTACATGTTTCGGCCCTAGATGACCATCTTCAGGTGTGTATTCTTAAATTGTTGCACTTAAGACGGAGTTTGTCTCGTATATATTGTGTGAGTGTAGCAGGAATATTTGTTGGATATAACATCAGATGTTCGCGCCGTCGCCATATTTGTAAGTGTTGATTTTAAACAATATTAAATATGAAATTTATGTTTATGATCTGTCTCAATAATATATTTCTTATTCATAATGCCACATTGTTAATGCTAAATTCTGTAACATTTACCTGAACAAATTGGACAGTCTTCCATGGTCATTTGAGGACATGAAATTAAGTATCCCACACGCATCACAAGTTCGCAATTCCGCCATGTTTGCTACTGCTTATCGCATACGTTGAAAGGCACACGTTGATATGGCATCCAACTACATAGCATCTGTTGGTTCAAAACTGCATTGTGATTTCCTTAAGGAAGAAAACAGACAAAAATTCAGGCAAGAAGCTACTTGAAAGTTTTCTTAGACTTCGTAACACATGCAGCTTGGCAGAGAACGGTCCGAGTATGTGTCAGAAGTATGGTAGATTGGTACCGTCTTTACTTGAACATATGTTATACCTCAACGCGTTCACAGACTAAATATTGAACCATAACAAGAGTTTTATGAAACATCGATCACATTTTTAGACAACACTCCATCATTCAAAAGAAATTATTAGTAAAGAATATATACATATAAGTGTACATTAGTTCTATAACCTTATTTCTATAGTTTTGAATTGAACTGTCCTAGTACTTTCTAAACAGAAAACGAGTTTCTTTACACTCGGATCTCACTCTAAATATTTTCATTAGGATTTATTTTTCAATTTCACTCTTTAAATATATAAAATTTCAGCTCGTACCTCATAGGAAACACGTTACGTCTCAGCCGGTTAATTTTATTTAGGATAAAAAGTTGTTTACTGTGAGAAATAATGAAACATATACACACTGTGTATTATAACAGATGGTATATATAGCGACCACTGAGTTTCAAAAGAATTTCTGAAATGTAAGTTTGTGAAGCTTATTCTATACAAAATGACCACATCCTAACATATAGGCTTCAGGAAACTATGCGTTAATAACCTTATCTTAAGTGATATACTGTCAAAACTTCCCACCTCTATTACGTGTATTACGAAGGTCCTGATATTGCGTGAGCTCCCGACTAGCTTCAATAATTCAATCTTTTTACCTGATGGCACAAGAATATACGAAGAAAAATAATACGCATATTTTTTTCCATGTTAATGGAGTCAGAACGTAGCTCACCACGTTAAGAGAGCGCGCCACTAGCTCACAATATATCCCAGCTGCAAGCAACGTAGCTACAGGTTCTATATGTTCTTTTATGTTGGATTAATAGACGTAGAGACGTCTTCACTAAAAGCTGTAAGTAATCCATCATGTTGGAAAATTGGCTCCCTTGTGTGGAGGCAAGGGCATTGGCTCTTGCGGCGAAGTCGTTGCAACAAGTGGCAACGCTTTCATACGCTGTCACTGATGAATAATTGTTTCTAGAAAATTTGGTTTCAGGCTCACACTTTTATCTAAGCCGGGCTCGGTACTGATCCACGTCAACTATTTGTAACTATGGCGTATAAGGCAAACCACCGACTGAAAATTGTGGTCGTGGGTTGGAATTTCGTTCAGTGAGTGGTTATTTGATTGCGGTTTCACGTGTTAATCTGCGTTGTCATTCAACTGTGAAGCTGTTACTCTATATAGGTTCCCAACACTGAATTCTACCTCGTATTTAAATAATGCAGCGACAAAAATTTTGATCTTTCAATGTAAAAAGTGAAAAAAAGTAAAGGCATCCCTGTAACAGACCGTGGAGGCCCATAGGGTTGTGAGATGTTGAGGTTCCCACTTTTTCTTGACAATCGGCTCATGGTTGTCAGCCTTACGCGCCGACCGCCCTATACCCCCAACAATATTCCTGGTACTCATTTCTGTTAGAGGCTGAGTCGATCCCGTGGCCATAGTGCGGCTGGAAGGATTAGGTAAATTGAAAAAAAATCCACCTCATCGGGATTCGATCCCGCGACCTTGTAGCATAGTGCCTCAAAAAACTACGCAACAGCGTGCCCTGATCTTTCAATGACATTGGTTTTCAGATTGCAGTCTTTTGTTTGTCATGTTTTGTATTCTTGTAGCGTATGCCGATATTTAGAGGGCCGTGCTGCCCTCATCTTCATGAGTCTGAGGAATGGCTTGGGCTTTATGTTGTAAGGAAGGAAGATGGCCACTCAAACTCACGGAGGGTAGAGTTTAACGGAGCCCAATCCGGTCCAATAGGAATTATAAACAGGCCGGTTCATGTTCCATCTCTCCATCCCATTACATGGGTAAGGGTGATCATCTGCAATCTACAATCCGCCTATAAACACAATTGATTCCTTACTCTACATACTTCAACCTTGAAGATGGACTCTTCGGCACCCGTGCCTCGATCCGGAAGGCCCTAGAATCGCGTTAGATTTTTGAGACGCTACATTTTTCGATCTAGTGTCTCAGGACTGTGACTCGGAACAACACAGGGCCCCTAAATCTCAAAAGGATGTGTAAAAACAACAATGAAACAAGTAATTTTGTCTTGTCTTAACCTCATTGTCCCAATTCGTTCATGTCTGAAAATTAACAAGGTTTACGCTGAGAGACATGATCTTCATAGCTCATGCCACCACTAAAAAAATGAGATTTTGTGATGTGTTTATATTTGTTGAACCACCCAACAGTTGACGGCCCATAGCTTGTCGCTCTAACGACTGAATTATTCCGGATAAATCCTTATAAAGAATAATTCGTTATTATTATATTCTCAAATGCGATGTGTGCGTAGTTATTACATTGCAAATTCCATGAATATGTTTAGATTAAAAAAAAACCTTGATCTAAATGTATATATCGGTCCATCGCTTTATCATTTTCGCATATGCTGAGAAAGGGTTGGTGGGTCCCATAATATAATCTGCGCCCACGAGAGGTCGTCTAGAGGCTACTTCTGAACTCTGTAATTCATCCTTTCTCTTCCTACGAGTTTGCACACTTGCCAGAAATTTCATATCCATATTTTAATATTTTACTGCGGGAATGGAATATTGTGTAGCCTTACTGGGGCGTGTCGCTTGCGTCTAGCTCAGCTTATTGCAGCATTTTTATTTTACGAAATTTTATACATTTGGCTCCGTAACAAGGACATATTTCCTCCTTCTTTTGTGTTACATTTTAGACTTACATGATATGAAATTCATCTCATTCTTCTAGAGGGTCCTGCTGCGTGTCCAATATAACCATTGACTTAGGTCCAATTCTGATCAGAACAGGCAGTCCAGAAGGCCTAATCTGCGAAGGAAGATGTATTTCAGATAAGTGATAATTCGGTTTAATTATTCAGTTATTTGCGTTCTTACTCAGCAGATCAAAAGCCAATTTTGAAATAAATTCGAGCAGAGAGGAAAACGGACACATATACATACACACATACGCACACACACAGGAAATTTGTAGCATTTAGACAGAACCATTCAGTTAGTGAAATTACGACAGCAATATAGACACACTCCTCCACAACAGAATTAATATTGTAACAATAATTAAAAGCTTCTTTATTAAAGCCGTCACAACACAACTATATCAATGTCAGTGCCTAGTTTTGGCTCTGCTGCATGTTTCGGCTATTAATAGCCATCATCAGGCAAATACATGGCTAACGTATATACACCACTGAACTTCAGTATTAATAAAATTGGATATAATAATATTAATATATTAAAATACTTTGTGTAAAAATACAATAAGTTAGACTATGTAAAACAAAATTTATAGTATAAAACAAGAATAAAATTCTTCGAGTCAGTCGTTGGTTTTTGCAATTTTGTTGTGTTCCCACGGACAAATTGGAGTATTCTATTATTGGAAGCTCGTGATGTAGATGTATTAACATAAATGTTAATTATTTAGTCGGTGCCTCATCTCACAAAATATTGTCTGTTCTGTAGGGAATGTAAACAACGAAAAAAATTAAGAAGTACAATTTAAGAGGAATACTTTGGTCAATAACAAATATAATACTTAAGTAGTATGTGAGGTTCTCAAAGCGGTAGTTATGAAGCGTTCTGTCTTAGGGGCGTAATATCATGTAATCCAGTGAAGTAAACCTAAATTTTGCCTCCATCTTTATGGTTGAAAAGTAAGCTAAGCAAGAAAGCAGCGTGAAAGCGTTTGGCAAGCACAGCTTATTCTTCGACTCTGAAGATGGAGGCGACATATTACTCTGAAACGTCAGTTGATTTTCAACAGACTACACGGCG